ATTAAGGGGATGAAAAATAGGTTTCCAGTTCACATTTAGTTTACTATTAATTTCTCTACCTTCAGTCTGAAGTCCTGGGAATCACACTCAGGGCCTCACACATGCTAGGTAATACTCTGCAACTGAGCTGCATCCCCAATCTCTGCCTTTATTCTTACAGCATTGTTACTCTGCCACTAGTCTGTAAACCCCGAACTTTTGTCAGTTTAATAATTAGCTTCCTTCAATTCTGAACCTACAGCTGAATTTTGCTGGAGAAAATGACACCATCGATTTTTTTCTCCCTATGGTAAGAGCAGAGGGAACATAAGAGCCTCTATCTCCCAGAAGCTGAGATGCTGTGAGAAATTAAGAACATGATATAATCTCCTCAGTGGGCACATGCACATTTATAGTGAAAATTCAACAATTGTCTGTAGTGGAATTAGATTTGTTGTGAAAATGAAATGTACCCAGCTTGTCCTGAATCAATTCAGGAATAAAGATCGAAAGGAAAAGATTAAATAAAACCCATAATTTTCAGAGTAGTAAGTATAAGATATTAGACATGTCCAGGCTACAAATTGACTAGAAGCTTGACCTAGGATTATTATAGGTTCTGAGGGACAGTGGATTTCTAACAAGAGATAAGTGGGTAACTTGTAGGTCTCTGCCTCTCCAAGTCTATAGTTTTTTTAAAGTGCTCTGGATTCTCAGAGTAAGTTCAGTCTTACTTGCAAAGTTAATATGTAATATGAAAACCAGTTACGCACCCCCCTGGTTTTCACTCCAATGTGCTAAGAAATTAAATGCGTAAAAAGTGGGCTCCTTCAGGCTCCAGATCTTATCCTCTTACCAACTCAAGGCTGGATGTTCCTGGCTCTTCTCTCCTTCTTCCCTTCTTCTTTGACCTTCTGTCTTTAATCTGAACCAGTTCTGTTATTTTTAGAGAAATAGCACTCTCAAGCACAAATCCCATCTTTGCTACCATCTCCCCTGAAAAAGGTCATTTACTTTTTCTCTATTTTCTTACTTCCTTAACGTATCAGCATTTGAATCCTGCTTCCAAGACCCCCATCTTTATTTTCTACACCACATATATACAGAAACTAGTATATTTTAGTGACTTCCTTGTTTTGTTCTCTAAAGAGCCCAATCTTACTTTAATTTTCCATCAATGCTTTTGACCTTCTGATGATTGTCCACTTGTGTGAAATCCTCTAATGTCTTGACTTCTGTATGGTCATTCTGTTCTGGCTCATTGAATCTCTAGAACTTTCTTTCTTTTTTAAAAAAATCTGAATCAATGGATTCAACTTCTCTACCTGCCATGTGAATATTACCTAGTGTGGTAATCTAGGCTTACTTCTCCTTTTAATTTGCAAAATCTTCAGGAAGACTTTACACTTTTGTGGTTTTAACCACAATGTGGGGGTTTTCCTGCAGTTATATTCTGCTATGACCTTTCTACAGAACTCTGAACTTCTCGGTACAGTTATACTTTTAGATTCCACAGATATTTTAAGCTCAATAAATTCACTATTATTATGCCCACTCTTTTATTTCCACTTGCATTTCTATTTCAATTTGTGTTTCCACCCATTCATGTAACCTCCAAATTCATAAAAATGGAAGTCATTTTTATTTTGTTGTTGTTTGAACCCACAGATATTACAGTCATTTGTACAAGCTATATGCTAAAAAAGGATGCCAGATCATTGGGCTAGATCACTGGTTGGCAAGCTTTTTTCGAAGATCCAAATAAACTTGAAGCTGTGAATACCATATGCAGTTATCCTACTCTGCTGTTGTAATGCAAAATCAGCCAGAGATGAAATGTACACAAGAAAATGTGTCTGAAAGTAGAACCTCCCATAAAAATTGATTCATAAAAAGAGATGAGTTTGTCATCTCTTTGGATTAGAGTTGGGTACAATAAATTCTACATGGGGCTACTGAGTAAACCAAGGACAATAGGAATGGTACTATTTGGACTAGTGATCTTCTTGCCTGAAGTCTCTACCCCCAAATGTATTCATAACATCATTTTAATATTATTTTCCAAATATATCTTGGATACATGCTCTTTCCTTTTCAAATTCACTGCCCTTATCTAAGTGTAATCATGGAAGAATATTTCAAGGTCTTCCTAATCTGACCTCTTATGGTGAAATCCTACAAATAAAATCACCTTTCTAAAATTAAAATCACACTGAGGTAAGATAGAAGAAATAGAAAAATTAATGGGAAGTGTATATAAAGAAAAAAAAGAAAATTGTAATTCAGAAGTTTTACATACTGTTTTAGGCCTGTCACTCCCTAAACCAGTCTCTCTGGCAAGCCCATGGCTTCCTAATTCCTGGGAAATCGGCAAATCTACCTTGCACTATTCACTAATCACTCAAGAGATAAAGCAGAGAGAGATGATATTTTGAGAAACTCATAGTTCAGGGGACCAGGGGACTTTGTTTTTTTTTTTCTTTTTAGATATACATGACAGTAGAGTATATTTTGACATACTATACATACATGGAGTATAACTTATTCTAATCAAGATCCCATTCTTTTGGTTGTACATAATGTGGAGTTTCACTGGTGGTATATTCATATATGAACATAGTTATGTCCAATTCATTCTACCATCTTTCCTAGTCTTATCCCTCTCTCTCTCCCCATCATTCATCTTTGTTTAATCCACTGAACTTCTATTCTTCCCCTCTCCACCCCTGGTTGTGTGCTAGCATCTGCATATTAGAGAGAACATTTGACCTTTTTATTTGGGGGGATTGGCTTATTTCACTTACTTTGATAGTCTCCAGGTCCATCCATTTACCAGCAAGAGTCATAAAGTCATTCTTTTCTTTGGCTTAGTAATGTTTAAGTGTGTATATATCTCCCATATTTTCTTTATCCATTAGCTTAGCTATTATTAGAATATTAGAATTGAGCTGCTATAAATATTGATGAGGCTATTAGAATTGAGCTTCTATAAATATTGATGTGACTGTTTCACTGTAGTATGCTAATTTCTTTGGGTATATTCTAAGGAGTGGAAAAACTAGGTCAAATAGTGGTCCCATTCCAAATTTTCTAAGGAATTTCCATACAGCTTTCCAAAATGGTTGCACCAATTTATAGACCCACAGAAATGTATAAGTGAACCCTTTCCTCCCACATCCTCACCAACATTTATTGTTACTTGTATTCTTGATGATTGCCATTCTGATGGAATCTCAGTGTACTTTTTACATTGCATGTTTCTAGTTGCTAGAGATGGTGAACATTTTTTTTTGTCTATTTGTTTACCATTCATATTTCTTCTTCTGTGAAGTATCTGTCCATTTCTATTGTCCATTTATTGATTAGGTTATTTGTGTGTGTGTGTGTGTGTGTGTGTGTGTGTGCGCATGTGTGTGTATTTTAAGTTCTTTTCATAATTCTGGAGATTAATGCTCTGTCTGAGGTGTGGATGGCAAAGATTTTCTCCCATATTTCTCCCATATTTTTTCTTAACTGTTTTCTTTGCTATGAGGAATGGTTTTACTTTGATACCATTTCATTTATTGATCTTTCATTTTACTTCTTGAGCTTTAGGAGTCTTGTTGAAGAAGTTGGTTTCTGAGCCAACATGATGGAGTATTCGGCCTACATATTCTTCTAGTCGATGTGGTGTTTCTGGTCTAATGCCTAGGCCTTTGGTCCACTTTGAATTTTGCACAGGGTGAGAGACAGGGGTTCAATTTCATTCACTGTATATGGATTTCCAGTTTTCCCAGCACCATTTATTGAACAGGCTATCTTTTCTACAATGTATGTTTATGGCACCTTTGTCTAGTATGAGATAATAGATTTATGTGAGTTTGTCTCTGTATTTCTTTTCAGTTCCATTGATCTTCGTGTCTGTTTTGGTGCCAATGCCATTCTGAGGTGCAATTTTGGGATTGTGATGCCTTCTGCTTTACTTTTCTCACCAAGGATTGCCTTGGCTGTTCTGTAATCCAGGGACTTTGTAGCACTATTGTTTGGTCAGATAATGAAGAACATCTTATTTCCAGGATCCTGAAACTCATCAGATCATTTCCACATACATTTCCAGACCCACCCTGCACCAAGTTTACTTTAAAAGAAAATCTGGGGACCTAAAAAATGCACCTTTCACTCTTGAGATGACCAGAATTCTCCCTTGAGTCTATATTCCTTGCTTTACCCCAAAAGATGTCTCTTTCTGAAGATTGTCCCCATTCTCCCTTGAATATGTACCTAATTTCCTAAATAAACCTTTGCCTGTACCTCTGACTTCCACATGCTGAAATTCTTTTCCATCCCATAAGCCAAGGTTGAGTTGCCCCTTCTCTCTAGGAACTCCTTGGACCTTTCTCTGGAGACATCTCATCTCTCATGACAAGACCGTATCCAACTCTTACATAAAGGGGAAACTCTCAATCTGTGTAAAGTACATTTTATCTAAATTTCTAGATTCATCTTCTAGTAATCTTTTCTCTTGAGCTTTGCAATCTAGCAACATTGATTAATTTGGAGTCCCAAGAAGCTTATGTTTGTTTATCTGCTACCCCATCTACCTTTACTACTTTATTTCCTTCAAATTTCTACCTGGAAAAGTCACCTTCAAACTCCAAAACTGGGTTAACTTTCACATTTCTATGAACATTTTCTTTTAATTCTCCACAACAGCTGACAAAATTAACCAGTTTCACTTCTTTGCAAATTGGTAAGCTAACGTACACACACATTAGTAATTGAACATATTATACTTCACTGGATCCATCTGATTACATTTTTTTCTCCTTTACTAGACCATATAAGGACAAGAATTATATTTTAGCCAGCTAGGTTTCTTCAGTGTCTAGCACAAGGCCTAAAAGATAGAAAATTCTCACTTTGTTGAACTGAATTGACTTGAATTCACCCAAAGATTAAAATCTGAAAGTAATTACTCTCTGAAGCTGTGTCCCAGGGAGCTCTAAAATACTGAGATTTTTTATTTTTTATTTTAAATGCAGAGAGAACTTCCAGATCATTATAGGCCTTGGATGGAAATTGCCAGAAATCTTCCTCACTTGATTGAAAGTCACCAGCTTCGAGCTCACGTCAACAAGGTATTTACTTTTTTCTTTTTCATCTCTTTATCCCCTTCTTACCATCTTGCTTCCATCTTCATACCACTTTTATATTTCAGTCTTGTGGAAGTGAGACAGTTGAAGTGAGGCAGTTGACCCAGAGAATGGTCATTGCCATTGTCATGGCGTATTACCATGACAATATAAAGATCTCATCCTTCCTAAAAAATAGGGTGACTCCTTCCTGATCATGACTTTCCCTAAAGCTTCCAGAACCCATACAGACAATACCCGGAATGTAGCAAACACCAGCCAAATGTTTGTTAAAGAAGAATCTGGCTGGGAGTTGAATGCAAGTTCATGAAAAATGTGTGACTCGGAGAGGATAGGTGTGGACATCCTCAGAGGCCCCATTCCAAGTCACATGATAAGTGCTCTGCTGCCTCTGAGTGAATCTGGGCTGATTTTATCTTGGGTCTCACAGAATACTTGAATACAAGAATTTCTGAATTCTAAAATCAGGATTAGTCTTGGATGATGCAGAAATAATTATCTGCAAATATCACATAAGTATTTACATAGAGTTATGTATATGATGAGTAATATGTGACAAAATGAACATTTTTTTTTCCTTAAGAGTATGTAAGGAACCAAGAAAATTCCAAGGAAAACCAAAATGACCTCACAAGGAATAATAAGAGGGTATAATAGGAAAGCCACAGACTTCCAGAAATACCTGGATTTAATCTTGGTTCTATCACTCAGGTAGCACATGGACCTGGTGAAAATATATTGACTTCGAAAATTTACTTCCTTCTTAAAGAAAATGGGAGAAATTTTAGTCTCATAGTATTGCTGTGATAACTAAATGGTTTTGAAGGGGACTTCCAGGGCTTAATATATCTTTGATATTTCCTTCTCTTCTTCTCCATCCATCATAATCTTGCTACATGATTTCAGAGGCACAAGAAAGATTTTTCTACTCTTCAGAGCTCTATTTCCTGATGGAATCATATTTAGTATCTGTAATTACACACTCATTTAAAAATACTCCTTGAGGTTCAACTGTAATGCACCAATAAAATGTAGAAAAATAAAGAAATAAAAAATATCCCTTGAATGTCTGTTCTGTGAAAAGCACAAGATTAGAAACATATAATAAGAGATTGTCTTCAATGTCTGTGAAGATATTAAAAGTAACCCTTGAAAATTCTTTGCCATTTGTGTAAAAAGTTTCATGGGCATGACCAAAGAAATACAGAAAGAAGAAAGAAGAAAAAAAATATCTCTAGGGGCAGGAAAAGAGAGGAGATTATAGGTGATGGAACAAAAACTTTAAGGAGTTTTAAATCACATTAAGTCAATCATGGGCCAGAAAAGTAGAGAAACAAGCATGGGGTAACCCTGGTCAGTTGGAAGGAGGGAAGAATGGAATTCATTTTGTGAAGTATGTAGACTCTTGTACCAGACTTCCCTAAAGTTTTACTTGATTAACCCAACATTATTAAAGGGAAGGGGGCTGGGGATGTGGCTCAAGCGGTAGTGCACTTGCCGGGCATGAGCGGGGCGCGAGTTTGATCCTCGGCATCACATAAAAATAAAATAAAGATGTTGTGCCCACCGAAATGTTCCCGTAAAACTTTGTAAATGGTCTTGTAGAAAGAGCATCTTTGCAGATGGAATGAATTTAAGAGTTCGTACTGGAATTCCATACTCTCTAAACCCGATATTACTGGAGTCCACATAAGAAGAGGAAAAATTGGACCCAGAGACAAAAGGATGCAGGGGAATCCATCAAGAGAAGACGGTGCAGTGCTGCATGCCTGTCATCCCAGCAGTTTGGGAGGCTGGGGCAGGAGGATCAAAAGTTCTAAGCCAACCTCAGTAATTTAGCGAGTCTCTAAGCAACTTAGCAAGACCCTGTCTCAAAAAGAGACAGAGAGAGAGATAAATTAAGAGAGAGAGAGAGAGAGAGAGAGAGAGAGAGAGAGAGAGAGAGAGAGAGAGAGAGAGAAAGATTAACAC